TACATGGTGTCCCCTCCAGCCCGATGCCCCCACCAGCCTGGCACCCCCACCAGCCCAGCACGTCCACCAACCCTCCAGCCTGGCACCCCCCCTCCAGCCTGGTGTCCCCCCTCCAGCCCGGCAGTCCCTTCCAGCACCCCAACCGGCCCAGTGCCCCCAACTGCCCAGGGCTCCACCAGCCTAACGCCCCCCACCAGCTCACCACCCCCTCCAGCTGGGTGTCCTCTCCACCCCGGTACCCCCGCCAGCCCGGTGCCCCCTCCAGCCCAGCAGGCATCCCTTCCAGTCCCCCACTTCAAGACCCACATTTTTTCTATTAGCTGAGGTCACGGCAGCTGCTGTACCACTGCACTAGGTACGTCTTTTTCTATAGTTTTGGTTTGTTGGTTTGTTTTTGAGACAGAGTTTCGCTCTTGTCACCCAGGCTGGAGTGCAGTGGCGCGATCTCGGCCCACTGCAACTTCTGCCTCCCAGGTTCAAGCCATTCTCCTGCCTCAGCCTCCTGAGTAGCTGGGATTAGAGGCGCCTGCCACCACTTCCAGCTAATATTTTGCATTTTTAGTAGAGACAGGGTTTCACTGTGTAGACCAGGCTGGTCTCGAATTCTTGACCTCAAGTGGTTCACCTGCCTTGGTCTCCCAAAGTGCTGGGATTACAGGCATGAGCTGCCACACCACACCTTCTTCTGTAGTTTTGATGCTGACGTCTTACCCGTTCCTCCACCCTAACCACCCAGGTGCGTGGAGCAGCCCCCAATCTCTGTGGATAAAATAACTTTCTTTCAACAAGACAGTCATTCCTGAGCCTGCGCGTCACCCTCCCGGATTAAAACAAATCCCAGGCTCATTTAAAAAACATATGGGCCCCAAATTTAGGATGCTACAACCCAAACCCCGGCAACCAGCATCTCACGTCTTTCCTGCAGCTTATAGCAGGACCCTGGAGACCTGGCAAGAGCACAGCCCCCCAGCCCTCCTCCTGGCCCTCCTCAGCCCCCGTCAGGTATGCATCCCTACTCCAAGCATGAGCCTCAGCAGCACAGGTGAGGTCACCTGTGTATCGAAGCCTGCACTGGGTGTGACGAGCCCCTCCATCCGGAAGAACTGTCTTTACTTGGCCACCAAGACCCGCCACTTGCCCACATCCCCACTTGCCAGCCACCCCCTCTGCCCTGCCTGCACTTCCTACCACCGTGCGGGCCCAGGCTCAGGCCTCAGGCCGAGGCCCCTCAGGAGCACCCAGCCACCATGTCTGAGGCCCTGCCCTGCCTCCCACCATGCCCTGGGTTCTCGCATTCCATTCTCCAGCCCCAAATTCCAGGTTCGCACAGCTGACCACCCACCCGACACCCGCTAAGATGCCAGGGCTGAAGGTTGTTGGCAGGTCCAAGCAGGGCTCTCAAGCAGCAGTGCCCATCCCAGCCTGCCCAGCTCTCAGACCACCAACCACGGGCCCAGCCACCACGGCTCTCTTCATCACACCCACAACCAAGACAGCAGCTAATCCTGTGCCCCAATAGGCCAGATCCCACCTAGTCCAGCCACCCCCTCAAGTCCACCTGAGCCCCAGAACCTCCGCACCAGCAGCTGGGGGCAGAAGCCTGGGCCCTGGCCCTGCCTGCGCTCAGCTTGTGCCCCCCTTGAAGCTGGGCCCCCTTGGGCACCTGTGTCCTCCGGTTTTGAGTACTTTCCTCTATGGGGTTGGCTCTTCCCTCTGGGACGTGGCCATGGGGCCCCTCAGAATGCCACGTATTAGGCACCACGTGACTTCAGGTGGAATGACTGAGTGAGGGACCTGTCCAGCACAGCCAGACGGCGAGAGGCCGGGCAGGACGCCCTCCAAGCACTCTGAGGAGGGGATGGCTCCAGACCCAGTGCTCCCAGTGGTCAAGGAGCCTGGGCAGGGGTGCAGACACTGGTGAGCTAGTGTGGGCACATGCAGGCCACGTGGCTGGAGCCGAGCACAGACACAGGACTCCACAGCCACCAGCCACAACCACGCACCGGGACACGGGGTAGACACGGGCCATGTGGACTGAGCTGTCGGGGTCCCCGTGAGATAAACAGGAGCCACTTAAACACACTTCTCTCCGGCCGAGTGCAGTGGCTCCTGTCTGTAATCCCAGCATTTTGGGAAGCTGAGGCGGGCGGATCACTTGAGGCCAGGAGTTTGAGACTAGCCTGAGGGGCATGGTGAAACCCTGTGCACTAAAACTAAAAAAAATAGCTGGGCACGGCGGCATGCACGTGTAGCTGCAGCTACTCAGCAGGCTGAGGTGGGAGGGTCACTTGAGCCTGGGAGATGGAGGCTGCAGAGAGCTGTGATTGTGCCACTGGTGACAGCAGGACTTTGTCTCAAAAAAGAAACACTCCTGTCCAACCAAAGCTGGGCACAGGGGGAGGTGCAACTGCCACAGGCCCCCGAAGTTGTGGTCCTGACCTGGCTGGAGTCCCAATCAGCCTCATCCCTCCAGGCAGGGTCGGCCAGGCCCATGTGAAGGAGCCTGGAAGTAGCAACAAAGGGAAGCAGAGGCCAGGAAGGCAGAGCCGGACAAAATAGGAATGCACCCAAGACACTGCACCTGGATCTCACTGACTGGTTTTCCTTTTTCAGATGGAGGCTCACACTGTTGCCCAAGCTGGAGTGCAGCAAGGAGATCAGAGCTCACTTGGCCTCACATAGCCTTGGCCTCCAGGCTCAAGTGATCCTCCTGCCTCAGCCTCCCTTCTATGTAGCTGGGACTACAGGCAGACACCATCATGCCCAGCTAATTTTTTATTTTTTGTAGTGGCAGGATCTCCCTATGTTGCCCAGGCTGGTCTTGATCTCCCAGGCTCATGTAATCCTCCAACCTGGGCTTCCCAAAGTGCTGGGATTACAGGCATGAGCCACTGCATCCAGCAGTGCCATCTCTTAATAAACATTAGTTTCAGCCCAGCACAGTAGCTCACACCTGTAATCCTAGCACTTTGGGAGGCCGAGGTGGGTGGATCACCTGAGGTCAGGAGTTCTACACTGGCCTGGACAACATGGTGAAACCCCATCTCTACTTAAAAAAAAAATTAGGGCCGGGCACAGTGGCTCACACCTGTAATCCCAGCACTTTGCGAGGCCGAGGCGGGTGGATCACGAGGTCAAGAGATCGAGACCATCCTGGTCAACATGGTGAAACCCCATTTCTACTAAAAATACAAAAAATCAGCTGGGCATGGTGGTACGTGCCTGTAATCCCAGCTACTCAGGAGGCTGAGGCAGGAGAATTGCCTGAACCAGGAGGCGGAGGCTGCAGTGAGCCGAGATTGCGCCATTGCACTCCAGCCTGGGTAATAAGAGCGAAACTCTGTCTCAAAAAAAAAAAAAAAATAGCCAGACGTGGTGACACATGCCTGTAATCCCAGCTACTCGGGAGGCTGAGGCAGGAGAATCACTTGAACCCAGGAGGCAGAGGTTTCAGTGCGCCGAGATGGTGCCACTGCACTCCAACCTGGGCAATAGAGGGAGACTCGCTCAAAAACAACAAAAAAAATTAGTTTCTAGTTTTGTTGGAGTCAAGTTTGTCACACTTTCCAGTGAGCGCCTTGGTCTCACAGCCTGGTCCCCTCTGCTGTTTCCTGTGGGGGCATCTCCACCTCTGGGTCTTCCTGGGGAGCCAGCTGCACTGTCCTCACACAGATGCCAACTGTCCAGGGTGCAGGGCCTGCCACCCCAGCCAGGCGATGCTGCGGCCTCCAGGCGGTTCCGTGGTCTCGGGCAGACGGCATGGTCTCAGCCCTGGTGTCAGGCTACATGTCAGAAGGCAAAGGCTGCCGCTGACCTTATGGGGACCCAGCTTTAACCCTGTGGACCGGTGACACCGGGACCTCCAGAACAAGAGGCCGTGACTTCAAGTGACTAAAGCTACTGTATGTGTGATTAACAGATGGAGCTGAAAGCCAAGGCCCCATCCCTGCCCCTTCCTCATGACAGGCTGCAAATACTAGAGCAAGCTGGGGCATGCCGGGAGCGCAGAAGCACCCACCGGCCTCCCTCCTGCCGGCCTCCCTCCTGTAGCCCTGGTCTCCCTCCCGCCGGCCTCCCTCCCTCAGGTCTGGCCTCCCTCCTGCCGGCCTCCCTCCCTCGGCCCTGGCCTCCCTCCCACCAAGCTCCCTCCCCAAGGCCTGTGATGTGGGTACCCCCGATCTGGGCACTGAGGAAGGAGAGCTAAGCAGATCCCCAGCACAATTACTGCCTGAAGAATATCTTAGTTTATAGTGTTATTACTCAGTTATTTCCTTCATATAATCCTTTATATATCTTAGTTTACAGAATTAGTGACTAAAGAATATCCTACAACTCAGTTGTTTCCATATATATATACAATTCTATCTTAGTTCATAGTCAGAGGAATACCTAGAGCAGACGCAGTTCAGAGGATGAATTAAGGGATAAACAGCTATACATATATAAGCATAACCTGCTTATAGTCGGAGGAATGTCTGGAGCAGACACACTGCAGAGCATGATTTAAGGGAAAACAGTTACACCAGGACAAGAATCCATGGCCCAGGCGGCAGCGTTCAGTGTCGTAAAGATACCCGCTGTATGGCAGGCTTGGGGCGAGAGCCTCTCCTCCTGATAAAGGAGTCGTAGGACCTTGCTCCAGTTCTTGTGGAAGGCTGCCCTCAGAGCGGCAATCCCGAGGGCCTCCGAGGGCTTAAAACCCCTCCAGTGTAACCTCGCCTTGGTGACTGAACTTCATCAGCTCTGGTTACTGTGCTGGTTCAAAAGCATCCTCCTATAGAACTCGATGGAAGCTGCCAGCAGGGGGCTGTGGACCGGGTCAGCTCTGCTACTGTGCTCACTCGCATCCACCTATAGAATTCCTTGGAAATGGCCCCAGACAAGAGATATTGCGCACTGTGCTCTCTGCTGCACACGGCCACCTCCTGGCCTCAGTGACCTAATGGGGGTGGACCCCTTGTTTATTGAGCACGTGATTGTCTTGACCCTATCACTGTCCTTAAGATGACCTCACTCACTACCCTTCCCTGTCTTGTACCCAATAAATACAGACGCTCCTGGATGTTTGGGGCCTCGCCTGTCTCTGCTCATAGGTGGCGTGGCCCCCAAGCCCAGCTGCTTTTCCAGTCCTTCTGTGTCCCATCTCTTTACTTCTCGGATCCTGCGCCTCAGCAGCGATAGGGGACACCCCAAGACCCTGTAGGCTGTGGTCCTACAAGTGGGAGTCCTGGGTCTGTGGTTATAGAAGCAGGGCTTTACGCGGACTTGCTCCCAGCATAAGAGCGCTGTCCGGAAGCCCAGGCTGGCTGAGGACACCGGGGACCTTCGAGGCTGCAGTGGAGGAGGGCTGAGGGCCGAGTGCCTGACACAGGGCTGGACCCCGCAGCTACAAGTGGCAGGAACCCTTAGGAGGAGCCAGCAGAGGGGCCGGAGGGTGGGCAGCCCACAGTGCTTTTGCACAGGGCCCACAGCATGAGCGGGTCAGGGAGGTGCTCCTGAAAGGGAGGCCTTGCTGGCCACATCCGGGTACTGAGGTGCTCCTAAGGTCCAGGCACAGGAATAGGGAAGCAGGCAGCCTAGCTGTGTTCACCCCAGGGCTGAGGAGGCCCGGACAGGCTGAGGCTGTCCGGAGGGGCAGCCCGGGTGTGCGCTGTCGCACAGGCACAAGCCCCAGGCCAGTGGGAAAGTCTCCAGTGAGGGCGTGTTCTAGCAGGCGTGATGGATGTGGCCCCAGGGCAGAGCTGGCAGGAGCCTGGAGGTGGCCCCACCAGCCCCGTCTCTGCCCACCTCGGGCCAGAGTCCTATGACCCCAGAAGACAGAGGGCCCTGTGAGGGGGGCAGGGGAGGCCCCAGGGCCACCTGTCCCCGCTGGTGGGGGCGGGGGGTGCCCTAAGGCCCAGCCTCCTTCCGCCAGGCTGGGGCACATCCCTGGGACACAGATGGCTCTTTGTCAGAGCAGAGCAGAGCTTGCTGGGTAGCCTCTGGAACAAAGCCTCTCTGTCCACGCAGTGCCCCCACCCGGAGCACCACCTCCAGGGAAGGAACAGAGCCCCAGGCTCCCATCCGGCATCACCCCAGGCACAGCCAAGGCTGGGGCGGGGGAGAAGCTGTGCTCACAGCCCAGGGCTGACCGCCTACCACGGCCCCTCTACACCCCATTCCCCAGACAGGGAAGTCTTGCCCGGCAGCCTTGCCTATGGGGAAGCTGCCACAGTTCACTCCCGGGTCCCCTCCAGCCCGCCAGCTGGACCATCACAACCCCCTCAGGGGTCTGGCCACACCTATTCCCAGTGCTGCTGGTCTTGGGCCCCAGCTCTGGCCAGAGTCAGCCCAGCCCCTGCATCAAGCACATGACCTGGGCTCTGTACCGCCATCCCTGCAGCCACCCGGCCCTGTATCTGTTCCTCCAACGCCCAGCCGGGCTGGGCCAAGGCAGGTTTCCTACAGGAGTGCCCGTCCACAGTCCTCAGCGTCCCAGTGGCGGGATCCAGATGAGGCCAGGCAGGGCTCCCGCCAACCTGGCTAGTCCCTGCCGACACTGTCCCTGTAGTTGATGCAGCACTGCCTCCAGGCAGGCCTCCTGGCTCCTCAGCGTCCTGATCACCTCAGCTGCCCGCAGGTCCCAGTCCCCTGCTGCCCCATCCTCTCGTCTGACCAGCCGGTGTGGCCCGTGAGGCTGGGCCGGGTCCCTGTCTTGCTCCCAGCACCGCTGCAGAGCTCCCAGCTCCTTCTCCACAGCCTCTCGAGAGGCCCGCCGCACAGCACTCCACTCTGGCCCCCGTCCACAGCCTCCAGCCTGCATGGGAGACAATGGTGGTGGCTGTCCCCCCAGGATGCTGGCCTCAGACCCCTCAGCATTTCCTGGGTCAGAAAGAGGGGTGCAGATGCAGCACGCATGCAGGAAAACACCCATGCTCTTTAGAGAGGCTCCCTGAACAGGCTGACCAACATAGCGAAACCCCATCTCTACTAAAAATACAAAAATTAGCTGGGCATGGTGGTGTGCGCCTGTAATCCCAGCTACTTGGGAGGCTGAGGCAAGAGAATCGCTTGAACCTGGGAGGCAGAGGTTGCAGTGAACCAAGATCATGGCACTGCACTCCAGCCTGGGAGACAGTGCGAGACTCTGTCTCAAGAAGAAAAAAAGAGAGAGGCTTACTGAAGACTTTAAGGGAAAAATCATGACTGCAATTTACGTTAAAATTCTTTTTTTTTTCTTTTCTCTCAGACAGAGTCTCACTGTCGCCCAGGCTGGAATGCAGTGGTGCAGTCTCAGCTCACTGCAACCTCTACCTCCCTGGTTCAAGCGATTCTCCTGCCTCAGCCTCTCAATTAGCTGGGACTACAGGTGCGTGCTCCTATGCCTGGCTAATTTTTCTGCATTTTTAGGTAGACATGGGGTTTCACCATATTTGCCAGGCTGGTATCGATCTCCTGACCTTGTGATCCACCTGCCACAGCCTTCCAAAGTATTGGGATTACAGTTGTGAGCCACTGCGCCCAGCCATTAAAATTCTTCAGAAAAAGAAAACAGAGGCCGGGTGCCACGTCTCATGCCTGTAATCCCAGCATTTGGAAGGCCAAGGAGGGCGGATCATGAAGTCAGGAGTTCAAGACCAGCCTAACCAATATGGTGAAACCTTGTCTCTACTAAAAATAAAAAAATTAGCCAGGCATGGCGGCATGCGTCTGTAATCCCAGCTACTCGGGGGCTGAGGCAGGAGAATCGCTTGAACCAGGGAGGCAGAGGTTGCAGTGAGCCGAGATAACACCACTGCACTCCAGCCTGGACGACAGAGTGAGACTCCTCCATCACAAAAAAAAGAAAAGAAAAGAGAATGATGCAGCCCCGTGTCCACAGCCACAAACCTGCAGGTGAGGACGGCTCTGTGTTTAGGGAGGAGACCCAGGCGTCTGACAGTCCCAGGAAGGTACAGGGTGAGCACCACCATGTGATCGCTCGTGTGGCAGAGGCCTGGGAGCAGCAGGCCCCACAGCACAGGCTTCCCTCCCTCCTCAGGAAAAGATCTGAGAACACACTTCCAGCAGGAGGGGCGGGCTGTCTCACAGCAGCAGGGGTCGTCACCGTGTGCCCTCCTGCCCCTCAGAGTGCATGTGTGAGTGTGCCACCCACCACGCCACACTCAATCAGATGCAGCCGTGGGATCCAGCAAGTTCAAAGCGCCCTCAGGTCAGCCATCCCCCAAAGTTGGCCAGTGCCCAGAGCGAGGCGGGCCCTCACCTTGGCCTCCCAGGCTGCCCGCCTGCACTCCGCAGCTTCCTGCAGCTCCTCCTGCAGTGCCCGCAGCTCCCAGGCTACCAGCTCCAACTCGCCACCCCTGTGCTCAGGGATCCCGGGCAGGAAGGTGCCCTGTGAGGCGGCAGCCGGCGCCCTGGGGGCACAGGTGTCCAGGACTGTGTCCTACAGAGACCCAAGTGAGACAGCCTGCACGAAGTGGGGTTTCCCAGCCGAGGGGACAGAGGGACAGAGGGCACGGAGGGCAGTGGTGGCCCCCCAGGTCCCACAGCAGCTGGATGCCACCATCTAGCAGCCTTGACGTCCAGGGAGGCACAAAGGCCATGGAGCTGAGGACAGGGCCACAGTGGCCTCCCCAGAAGGTGAGCAGAAGCCCTAGAAAAAGCCCATGCTAGGAGATCTGAGGCCTCCCTAAAAGTCACTCCCCTGTCTGCAAAACAGAAAGATCCCCACCCTCCACCTGGGGCTGCTGCGGGAGGGGACAACGGGAGGGGGCGAGTGGGCGTCCTCACCATCCACTGCCAGAAGACCAGCTCTGTGCGCCGCCACGTCAGGACCGCCTCCAGGCGCCTGTTCTCATACTCCAGAGTCCGCAGCAGCTGGAAGGCAAACGGCAGCTGGGCTAGAACCTCACACCGGACCCCAGGGACAGACGCAGGACAGACAGATGCAAGACGGACAGCTGGCCCCAGCACACGCCCCACCCCTGCAGCCTTCCACCTGCCTGCACCCAGGTTCTCTGGCCAGAACCACAAGCAGGGCACCCTGGTGTGGTGCGGCGACCACAGCCCACCCGTCCTTTCTGCAGCGCAGGGCTGCCCCCAACGCACAGCCAGGCCCCGCCTGCCAGACGAGAGCTGGCCCTACCCTCTGAGGACACCTGCTGTCCCCCATACCAGCCCCTCTGTGAGTCCAACAAGGTCAGGGACAGAGTCCAGGTGCCTCTGAAGCCTAGACCTCCGCCCCACACCCCTCGCTGAATGGAGACTATATCGGGGGCTGCAGGCAGAGGGGGAGGCCCCAAACTAGGGAGCCAGCCAGGCTCCTGGGAGGGAAAAACCATCCCATCACTTCAGGGACCCCCTAAGGAGTCTGCCTAGTGGCCCAGGTGGCAGAGAAGGCAGAGCTGAGCCACACTCGACATTCCCAAGCAAAGGGTCTGCCCCATGGCACTGCACGAAGGCACCTGCCCACAGTGTGCCACACACAGGCGAGGCGGCTGGAAACGGCCAGACACGGCTAGTTGCTCTGCCCACACACAGAAGGCGGGCGCGTGTACTTATGGGCTATCTGCACCAGTGATCCTGGGCCCTGGGGCAGCGGGTACCCCTGTGGGGACAGGCCCTCTGTACCTGAATCCTGCCCACTCCACCCTTCCTCCCAAGGAACCCAGAGTGTGAACCTAGGCTGCAGGGGCCTGGGACTCCAGCAGTGGCTGGGGGGCAAACAGGGATGGCCTTGAACCCCAGGCTCAACCCAGCCCACCTGGGGCAGAGCAGAGGGGAGCAGAGCAGAGGCAGGCAGGCTTGAAGGCAGAGAAGCTGAGAACAGGGAGGTCTGCGGGCAGCGTGGGAGCTGGAGCAGGCTGGGGCCACCCACATGCCCACCCAGGCAGGCCATGAGAAGAAGCAAAGACCCCACCATGGGGACAGATGCCGAAACACCCCCAACAGGACGGTCACCTAACAGAAGGGGAGTCAACTAACAACAGATGGGCAGTCACCGCAGTTTCCATGAAGCTAAGGGCCCCGGGGGTGGGAGCAGGCAGGAGAGGAGGGGCAAACACGCCCCTTACTGCCCCTCCCACCCCCAAGTGCTATGGTCTTCACACCTGCCAGCCTCCCCCCACGCACTGCCCTGAGCGGGGAGAGCAGGCTGCAGGCTGAGCCCCACCAGGACCCAAGGGAGCCTCCAGTCACCCAGCAGCAGGCCTGGCTGCTCACACACCAGCCACAGATCCTTCCAGAAGGTCCTGGGACCCATCCCAGGAGTGCAGGAGAAGTGCAAGCCCTTCAGGTAGGCCAGGGTCCAGGTTCTGGGGGTTCCCACTCCAGAAACCCTGGAAGGAAGCCAGCCCGTGGCCCCATTCCACCTGGCCAGTACCGCACACAGCTTCCAGGAGAGGATGGGGCCTCACTTCCAGGCCTCCCAGCCCACCACAGACGGTGGTCTCCACAGAGGTTCCCTGGGTAGGAGCAGGCTGAGGCCAGGGCAGCCTCTGCTCTGCCCCAACCCAGGGGTCCCAGGGGCCAGAAGCTTGGGCTTTGCAGAGCCACCTCTACAAGGGAGGCAGGGCCAAGGGCAGACTGGGGTGCCCAGATGCTGCCTCAGCACCGCCAACACCAATGCAGGCCAACGGGGTGGGTGCCAGCCCCACTTCAGCCAGGGACAGGACCAGCTGGCACCGGGGGCCAGGCAGGCAGAAGCGGGCCCTGTGAGCCCACAGTGCGGCATGCAGTCCCCCAGGGTCAGGGCTGCAGAGTGGAATGCACAGGCCCTTGCCATGAGCAGGAAGTCCCAGCAGATATAAGACTGGGGGCTGGGCTGGGCGCGGTGGCTCAAGCCTGTAATCCCAGCACTTTGGGAGGCCGAGGCGGGTGGATCACGAGGTCAACATGGTGAAACCCCGTCTCTACTAAAAATACAAAAAACTAGCTAGGCATGGTGGCTCGTGCCTGTAATCCCAGCTACTCAGGAGGCTGAGGCAGGAGAATTGCCTGAACCCAGGAGGCGGAGGTTGCAGTGAGCCGAGATCGCGCCATTGCACTCCAGCCTGGTTAACAAGAGCAAAACTCCGTCTCAAAAAAAAAGACTGGAGGCTGGGAGCCAGGCCATCCGCCTCTGACCCCTGGGTCCCCCTGGGCAGGCCTGGGATGAGGTACAGGGGCCAAGACTCTGGATTTGGAGAAAGAAGAGACAGAGAGGAGGACCGAGCCTAGAAGAAGGGGTCACACCAGCCCTGAGTCACAGCCCTCCTGCCTGGCTGTACCTGCCCGGAGCTGGGCAGCACCAGTCCATCACTCAGGACAGTACAGAGCCCAGCCCAAGTGCGTGGCTCATGCCTGTAATCCCAGAACTTTGGGAGGCTGAGGCTGAGCCAGGTGGATCACCAGAGATCAGGAGTTTAAGACCAGCCTGGCCAACATGGCAAAACCCCATCTCTACTAAAAATACAAAAAAATTAGCCAGACGAGGTGGTGCATGCCTATAGTCCCAGGTACTCAGGAGGTTGAGACAGGAGAATCGCTTGAACCCAGGAGACTGAGGTTGCAGTGGGCCGAGATCACGCCACTGCTGCAATCCAGCCTGGGCAACAGAGCAAAACTCTGTCTCGAAAGATAAAAAAAATAAAAAGAATGGCTGCCAGCCCTTCCCTGTCCCCTGAAACCATGCTAGCCAAGAGGAAGGAGCCAGTGATGACAGGTGGGCAGACCCCCAGAAAGAAGGATGAAGGTGGAAGGCCGGCAGGGAGGAGGGAAGGGGAGTAGCAGGGTGAGAGGAAGTGACCATCCCTCGGGAAGATGCCTGGGGCTAAGTCAACTCTGACACTTCCGGTAGGCCACTGTCTGCCCAGGGTCACGTAGCCACCAGAGGCTCAGAGCCAGGCTTTCCTCCAGGTCTGTGTTATCCAGGGCTCAGGATCTGCCCCGGACCACAGAGCCCCATTGTCTGGAGCTGTGTCCCCTGGTTGGCCCCAGGTTTGCAAGCAATATGGGGCCTGCAAATCTCCAGGGTCTATGGGGCTGGCTCCAGCTTGGCAGGCTCCACCCAGCATACCCATGTGGGTCTGGCCTTGGGCTCTGAAGGGCGGCTGTCCCTGCCATGGTCAGCCCTGTGCCCAGCCCTTCACCCAGTGTGGGCTAGTCCCTGCACACCCCCAGGGGCCCCTGCCACAGCAGGTGAGACCTACTTCAGGTGCCAACACCACTGGCTCCCACCTTCATTCCAGCAACCTACCCTCAGCCAGCTGCCGGCCCAGCCCAGGCTCCTGTGTCCCTGGGCCCCCACCAACACTCTGCCTGGATTTGCAGAAGGGAAGGGGGAGTGGCCCGTGAGACTAGGAGAGGCCCAGAGGACACGCCTGTCACCCATGCCAGCAATGATGGGTGGCAGAAACGCAGAGACACCCACCACTCCCTGCCTCCCATGGGCCCCTCCCACCTCAGGCAGTGCCTCCCCAGCAGCTCACTTGCCCTCACCTGCTGGCCTCCCTCTGGGTCCCTGAGCATCTCTGCTTCAGCGACCGACAGATGACCAAGGCTCTGATCCCCATGGCAGCCGCTTGTGTACAGGTGGATCTGAAACAGGCGGTTACAGACTCCAGGCTGAGTGGGAGGCAGGCACCTCCCCCAGCACTGAACTCCACCAGTCCAGGAAGGTCTGCCTTCAGAGCCCACCACACAGTGGGCTCGGGGCCGGCCACTCCGCCTGAGGCTGTCAGGGCTGGGCTGCATGTGGGACCGCTGTCTGCACTGCTGGGGCCTCCTGCAGCGGGGCCAGGCAGCTTCACTGATGGCCTCCCCACCCCACCCAACTCCCCAGCAGCAGCAGGATTGCAGTGGGGTGCCCTGGCTTCCCCCGCAGCATCGGAGGAGGAACAGCCTCCGGACAGGCTCACAGTGGGGATGGGAGTGAGTGCTTGGATCTAGGGGAATGGGAGAGGCTTCCCAGAGAGGCGGGCTGGAGGGCGGCACAGAGGGGCATGTAGGTAAGCATGGTGGTTTGTGTCAAAGCCAGGCCTGACGGGGTGAGAGGTCCCCGGAAAGGCTGGCTGAGCAACAGACCCTGTGCAAGGCTGGGAGCTGCCACAGAAGCACCCGTCAGCCCTGGCATCACAGTGGACATGCTGCTGGGCACCTATGACCCTGAGCCTACCCCTACCACATTTGGGGCCCCACAGGCACTACCCACCCCCTAAGTCAGCCCCAAGCAGGATTTGGTGGGAGCAGGGGGCATCCTCCTCCCCCTCCAGTGCCCAGGAGGGAGCAGTATTCACGGCACAGAGCCCATCACAATATTTAATGACAGAGCCAGAAGGCCTCTGGTGCCTTTCAAGAACAAGAAGGCAAATTCTGTGAGCTCTCTGACACCAGCTTCCATCCTGCCCACCACTGCCCAGCCCTGCCCACCTCCATCCTGCCCTGGACCCCCACAAGTACCACCTGGAACCATCTGAGGCTCTGGGTAAGCCCGGGGCAGGAAAGCCCACATCTAGCCAAAAGCCTATGCCAAGACTGCAGCACAGGATACAGCCCCTGGGTGGAAGCCCTGTGCCAGCTCTACCTTGCTCAGGAGGGTGCACTGTTCCTGCTGACTGGACACCAGCTGTCGCCACCGGAACCGCAGCTTTCCCATCAGCCACTGCACATAGCGGACATCCACAGGATCCTCTGCTCGCACCTGGGGTGCAGGTGGGCCAGGGCTGGCCAGGGCCTCACACTGGAGAAGGGCAACGGTCAGGCCCTGCTCCCACCCCACCCTGCCCCCAGTAAGAGGGCAGTGGAGGCACAGCCAAGAACAAAGGGTGCTTCCTGCACAGGGAGCCTCCATGCTTTCAGCAGGCAGCTGGGTGACCCCTTGTGGGACTGCCCTGAGGGTCCGGGCAGGAGACACCGAGGAGGCTAGTCCAGGCCTGCCCTTGTTCTGGCCCCAGGAGTTGAGACCAGGGCTGGCTCGGCCCACCCTCACCCACACGCACCTGGCACACAGTCATCTCATCACCCAGAGGCACCCGGGTCTGGGCCAGCATCTGCTCAGGCACAGGTCCTCGAGCCAAGAGCCAGGACAGAGCCAGCAGCAGCTCCCGGCTGCCCTGGGAGCCATCCTCAGGGAGCTGTGCCAGTGCCAGCCGCGGGTAGCCCTGGGAGCGCAGTGCTGACTTCACCAAGCGGGCTTGGACCTCTAGGATAGAAGACCACTAGCTCAGGAGACCACAAGCCTGGAGGTGACACCACCTGGATGCCCTCAGAGATCCCCACAAGTCACTCGAACAGGGGCTCAAGGCCTAGCTCATAAGAAACTATGGTGGGAGAGCTGGAACTCAGACCAGGATGAGGAGGCTAAGGGCCAACGGGGACGGCCCCAGAGCTTTGTAGGAGCAGAAACCAGAACTACCCAAGGGGGTGGAGCTAAAGCCTGCCAGGGGCGTGGCTTACTGGGGAAGGCGGGGCTCTGCGTGAGTGGGGCCCATGCTACTGGGGTGGGTGGAGCTAGAACTTGTCAGGGGCGTGGCTCACTGGGGAAGGCGGGGCTCTGCGGGAGTGGGGCCCGTGCCACTCGGGTGGGTGGAGCTAGAGCCTGCCAGGGGCGTGGCTTACTGGGGGAGGCGAGGCTCTGCGTGGTGGGGCCCGTGCTACTGGGGTGGGTGGAGCTAGAACCTGTCAGGGGCGTGGCTCACTGGGGAAAGGCGGGGCTTTGCAGGGGCAGGAGGGGGACACTGCTACCGGGTGGGCGAGGCTAAGGCCTGCCAGGAGGGGGGCTTACCCGGGGCGAGCGAGGCCAGGGGGTTGTCCAGAGGGAGTGGCGCGAGCACGCGGAAGAGAAGCTGCCAGAGCGCGGGGGTCTGCGGAAAATAAAAAGTGGGCAGTCAGCGGAGCTGGCTCAACTCCCTGCGACGGCCCGTGACCCTACCCGGCCCGGCTGCCCTCCGCGCGAGCGTCACCGCCTCCGGACGGTCGAACTTGGCACGGCGGAAGATCTCGGGGCTGGGTCCCGAGGGCAGCGACCGACTCAACGCGGCGATGGCCTCAGGCAGGGCCCCGGCCCGGGCCCCAGCCGCGGGGTGCACCCGCCGCCGCCGCCTCCCCATAGAGCCAGCACCAGCCTCCTTCGGATAGCCCGCCGCAGCCGCCCGGGACCTGCGCACAAGCATCGCATGGGCCGGGTCCAGCGCCGCGGCTGGGACCTGCACCCAATCGCCGCAAGGGCCGTGTGCAGCGCCCAATCAGCGCGCCGGCTGGGCCTGCGCCCAATCACCGTACGGGCCGCCCGGGCTAGCGCCGCGCTGGCCGGGTCTTTCACCCAATCACCGTGCTGGCCGGAACTGCATCCAATCACCGCGTCGGCAGGGACCCGCCTTCGAGGCCCGGCCCAATGAACGGTTTCCCTTGAGTTTGAGTGTAGTCTAATTCCGTCCCGTGTGGACCCACTTCCGGGGTGATGGCCGGGCCGTCCGTGTGAAGTCCGCGGAGCCCGCCCTCGCCGACTGCTACCTTCACGAACCCGACTCCCCGCCTCGCCCAAACCCCGCCCATCGGCATCCCTCGCCCGCGGCGACCTGGCAACCGCCCGGCTGGAGCACGCAGACTCCCAAGGGCGCCCCCTGGGGCCGCGGAAGGCAGCGCAGCTGGGCCCCGCGGAGCCAGAGCCGACGAGCCTCGCCGCTCCGCGCCGCCTCTCCCGCAGCGCCGCCAGGAGGCGCCCGGAGCCCGCCGCGCCTCAGCGTAGCCCCGGTGCTGCCGGCCCGGGACTCCAGGTGCCGGGTCCCGGGCAACTGCCCCACTCCGAACGCGCGGCCCGGGCCCGCCGGCGCTCCCGGTCTTCCCCCGCCCGCGGCCGCGCGTCCTTCTGCCGCCGCCACGGAACAGCCCTGGAGGAAGCCGGCGCGGGAAGCAGCCGCTGCCCGAGCCCCGCTGAGCCGGGCCCGCGTGCACGGGCGGCCCCGAAAGGCGCGGGCCGGGAGGAGCGCGGGGCCGCCCGCGGGGACAGGAGGTTGGGCCGGCTCGCGGCCAGCGGCGGCTCCGGGCTCTTCCCGCGATGCCCCGGCAGCTCCCCGGGGCTGCGAGGGCGGCGGCGAAGGCGGGGCGGGAGACTCGGGCCTCCCTGGACCCCCGCCATGGCTGGCCGCGCCCACGCGAGGCGCAGCCCGAGGGGTCCCGGCCCCACCTCCCTCCCGGCCTCCTTCGCCCCCATCTCCTCCTCCAGGCAGCCCTCCTGGCCCTCAGGGCCCACCCGAGCAGGCCCCATCCTGCCCCTCCCCGCACGCCCTCCGGCCTCCCCCGCCCGCAGCCTCCTTCCCTCTGGCGCATCGCGACCCTCTTCGCGGCGCCAGTGCCAGGAGGAAGACCAAGCTCCTCGCCCCGCCGGCGGCTTCCTCGAAGCCAAGGGCCTCCTGCTCGGAGCGCCTCTGCACCTGCGAGCCACACGGCGGCAGGAGCCGGAGGGATGGGGCAGGGCTGGGGGCCCCCGGCGCCACAGGAACTTGGCAGGAAGCGTGGGGGGTGGCGGGCCTCTCCGCAGTCTCGCTCCGCGCCTTCCCAGCCCCGCGCTTGCGGATTTTCCTCTGCACCAGGTGTCGCTGAGTCAAAGCTCTCAGTTCCCGCAGCGCCACCCACCACCGTCCAGAACCGAGGCCTCACCTCGGCACCCCGGCATCCCCCCTCCCCTGCCCCCATCCCACCAAAAGCGCTGTGGTTCCCAGCTCTTGGGATCTCAGGAATCTCCCAGTCGCCCCACACATCCCACCCTGGGCTACCCTAGACTGCCCCCACACAGCAGCTGTCCAGCGGAGCCTGCGGCACACCCACCACAGCCCTAGGGCAGGGTGATGCCTCTGGACTCTTTTCCAGTCAGTGTGTGTCCTCTGGGGTGGCCTTCTGCTGGGGCCAGAATCTAAGTGGCCAATGTGGGGAAGGGAGTCTCTGAAGGTGGCTGGCTGAGTGGACAAGGGAGTTTCCAGAAGGACCCTCAGCCCCTGTGCACGGCCAGCACTCAAGTTCCCCGCCGGACACCGGGCCACAGGGTAAGTCCCTGGGCACAGGGCAGATGGCAGACGAGGACGCACATGGGGCAGTGGTGTCTGGGTCAGGAGCACAGCAGCCTCATCAGACCCCTGCAGAAGCTCGCCTGGCCTGGAGGGGTAGGGAATGAGGACAGGGTTGGGGGGCAGGAAGCGGGAAGGCTAGGAGTCCCCACAGCTCCTCTAGAGCCTCTCAGAAGTGGAACCAGTGAGCTGATTCATCCCCTGACCCGAGGCCAGCCCCGCCTTGCCAGCCCCACCCACCCCCAGGCCTCTCAAAGCCTCCCCTCCTGCTCCCAGAAGGCCAGGAGAGCTCAGGGGCACCTCTGAGGGTCTGGAAGGTTGTGGAGGTGGGCTCAGAGCAGCAGGGCTGGGTGCGGACTGCCTAGGGTGGCCTGGACTCACTCTGCACACGGGGCCCGGCCCGGCACATGAGGCCCTGGAACGGCGCCCTGGGGAGGGCGATGCATAGGAAGTGGGAAGTCACCTCTGTCCCCGCCTTGGAGGCGCCACTGGCAGAGCTGTGGCCAGAGATCCACTGCAGCCCCCTTGCACACCCTGGCTCACTAGCACGCGCGCACACACACACAGGTTTTCCACGTGTTCAGGTTTATTGAGGGCATTAGGGGCTACAAGGGAGCCCTGGGCATCGGGCAATGAGGCCTAGCATTTGCTGGACAGTGAGTGGCCCAGCCAGCGGCCAAGGATGGGGTCTCCACCACCTGTGCAGAGAAAGACAGGCACAGACATGAGTGCAGCACCCACGGCCTCCCTTTGGACCCCATGAGTGGTCAGGCCTCCCTGGGAGGGGGCATCCCCAGCCCGAGAGAAGAACCAGGGGGCAGGACAGGGGTGGGGTCCTACCTACCCGGTTTACTTGAAAGTGTGGCTCTCGGCTCCACCCCGCCCAAAGCCTGCAGAGAAGGTGGAAAAAGTCAACAGGGAGATTGGGACGGGGCTGTGGGGTGAGCGGGACAAGGCACAGGGTGCATACCTTTAGGCCCAAACATGGCGGCATAGCAGGGATGGTTGCAGTAGGGTTTGCCTCCGTGCTGCAAAGAGAAGGGCTGTGAGGGGGTGCCATCACCCCTGGGCCCTGCCACCAGGACGGGTTCCACCTACCTCTGCGTGGCTGCCGGAGGTCAGCGTCTTCCCACATTTCTCGCACTTCAGGCAAGGCCGATGCCAGTCCTTGCCCAGAGAGGTCACCCTCTCGGCTGCAGAGGCACAGACGGGCCCGTGAGACGCTGGGGTACTCCGCGCACACCCACCACTGGCATACTCGCCTCTTGCAGCCAGCTCTGCCGAAGCCCTGTGCACTGGGGCTCCATCCTCCCAGCCTGGCAGCCCACCCAAGGTCTCAGCCGCCTGTCTCATGAGGACAGAGCCATTACAACCAAACAGCACCAATCTCCAATCCCCAGAGCCCGTACAACCTGCCTGGTCCCTGGGCCACTCGGGGGTGCTGCCCTGAGTCTTGCTCCTGGGGGCTGGGTGGGGCTGAAGGGCGGGGCCCACGGTCAGGGGTCCGGGCTGGGTCAGGAAGGCCTGGGCCTGGCTGCCGGCTTTCAGCCCCCGGCCTCTGCGGTGACCAGGGTGGAGCCTGCGGGAGCCCTTCTCCAAGACGAGGACAGGGGTGGCTTCCCACTTCCTCCCTCCCCTCGGGGCGCGCGCGGGGCAGGAAGGCGGGCTTCAGGGATCGTGCCCCGGGCGTCGGTTTCCGCGTCTGTTTCTACTTTGCATTGGGAGGCGCCGCCCCAGGCTCGCGTTCCTTCCAGCCCCGCGGGTGCCCCACCCAGGGTGCGCCCGAGAGGAGACGGCAGAGACCGTAGGGCCCAGAGACAGGGAGGCTTAGAGCCAGAGGCAGCCCGCCGAGCACAGCGAGACCGCGAACCCGCGGCGATCGTGCGGCCTTCGGACGCAGAGGCTTCCACCCTCCTCCCAGGGCAGGCGCGCACCAGGCTGAAGCGTCTGCTCCGAGGCGGCGCCCAGGGGACCCAGCGCCTCAGTCCTCCGGAGCAGCCCCCAGCCCCGTCGCCCTCAGCGGCGCCTCCTCGCGGGGCCGGCGTGCGCGCACTCACCGAAGTACACCTCCTTGTCGCACTTGGGGCACTTGGGCATGGCAGCTCCGGGTTCGGTGCGGGTGGCGGCTGCTGGGGCGGGAAGGGCGGCAGGCTCGAGACTGGGAGGGTCCGGCCGGGTCTGCGCCTTTCAGGGACCCCGGGACCCCGCCCCCTGGAGACCCCGCCCCTCGCGCCCCGCCCCCCAATCCAGGACTTGGACCCCGGGGACGTCGGATCCAGGCTCGCGGCCCGAGAAAGGTCATCTGGTCCACCCCCGCCTTCGGGCTGGACCGGGGCCTGGCAGAGGACAGAGCAGAGGGCCATGGGGACTTACTGACGGAATGCAGCTCCTCCGGGAGTTCAGGCCGCGCCCCTAGCCCAGCACTGCTGTCGCCCGGCTCAGGGCAAAAGGCTCCCCCGAAGCAGGAAGCCCATCTCCGTCCCCGGCCCCACCCCACCGGCACCTGCCCGAACCACAGATCTGGGCGGGCCAGGACTGGACCAAACACCTCTAAATGCAAAGAGATGCAAAGCAGCCCACGCTGATCCTGCCCTCGCCAAGACGGAGGGCCAGGGACAACTGCCGGAGAGTCCCCGCTGTCCGCCCACTGAGGAACCCTTCCATCCCACGCAGGGTTAGGAGGCCGCTCCCCTCAGCCCCTCACTCTGGAGGGACATCCCTCCTCTGCTAGCTCCCCTGATCTCCACTGCTCTGAGAGGTCCATCTGACCACAGCGGGAACGTCCCCGGGGGATTCAAAAGCGGGGACTCCCAGGGAGTGGAGCCGTAGCTTGAGGACCCATGGCCGTGGGGGCTGCGGTTTGCGCCCTGGACAAAGAGTTCGGCCACCCCCAGGCCGGCTGGGAGATGCTTGGCAGGACGCTGGGAGGGCCCTGATCTCTGCAGGAAACGCCTAGTTTGGCCAAAGCGGTCCAAGTCCACTGCCCAGGTGGGGTGGAGGCTGACCCCGGTGCCAGGCACAAGCTGTCCCGCCTTGCCCGCCCGGAGATTCAGGAAGGCCAACGGGGCCCGCTGGCCCTCAGGCTTGTGGGGCAGCCCTCCAGCTGACCAGCCAGCCTCAGGACCAGGGCCAGGGTCAGTCTTTAGGATCAGCCCACCAGCCCCCTCTCCTCTCAGTGGGCAGGGGAGCCCTCTCTCTACAGGCCCTTCACTTCCGAGCTTCGTGGAGCCCCGTGCCCAGTCTCCCACTGCACGGGGGCTCCTGCCCTTCCTCTCTGCCCCCATCCCTCCTGTCAGCCGTCATCTTCCCTTGACCTCCACCTCTGGGCCTGTGCCAGCCCTGTCCCCAGCCAGCGGGTGCTGGAGACCATCATCCCAGGCCCCAGGAGCCCCGGCTTACCCCTGGTGGGCACTTAGCCCTAACTGCACCTGTGATCCCAACTTCACTTTCCCTGAAGCCCACCGCCCCACCGTCAGCCCCTCCAGGCCTGCCCTGCCCTGTCCACCACCAGGCCCCAGCTTGGGGAGAGGACAGGCTGAGGCACGGGTGTCTGGCGTGGAGGCCACACTGCAGAGACCCCCACCGGCACATCAGCCAAGGCCACATTCTGCTCACCCCCCTCCTGGCATCCCCCTTTCCAAGGCCACTGTTCTGTCCCCGGCTGGGGCTAAGTCACGGGGTCTAATAGGACATTCCACAGGGGCCCATTGGAGCCCTCCCCTGCCCCATTCTGAGACCCCTCAGAGGCAAGGGTTCCAGAGCGGGGGTGCACTCCTGCCCTGCAACCTTGGAACCCCAGTCTCCAGCCCAGTGAGCCTCGAAAGCCACTCTCGGGTCTCAGCCCACCGGCCATCTCCACCAAGTCTGGGCACCATGGAACAATCTTGCAGACAGGCAGAGGCACTGAGAAGGGGGAGAGGCCAGGGGAGCCCACACGGTCTTGGGGAGGCCGGAGGCTCTGTCATTGCACTTCCCCTGGGGTGTGTGGTGCCCACAGGCCCTAGGGTGCCCAGAACCACCATCCACACCCCCACCAGGGTAACATACTCT